AAGATATGTGTGTAGATTGAGAAAAAGAAACCGTGTCGATCACCGGAATCATAGTTTTATTGGTCTAAACGTTCGAACTCTTGCAGGGGTCCATCGTCAGAGATAACATCGTCAATCAAATAAGTAACATTTATAGGACAAGGGCCCAATGTGTCGTCATAAGGAGGGGGCACAGGGGTAGGGAGAGGAGAGTCTGGTGATACCTGTACAGGGTGAAATATGCGGATGCCAGCTCGATACATTTGTTAACTGTCTTGTCATCCAACGCCCAGGCTTCAATCAGTTCTCCGCCCGTCTTGCTGCCGGCGTGGTCAATTATCCTTGCAACTACGAAGTTGAATTCATGACCCGTATCGTAGATGTGGGCTACCACTTACGATAGTGCGTGATCTCGTCGAACAGTCAGCCTATGTTTGTGTATGCACGAACCCAGCACTCGTACCGTGTAATTTATGGGGCAGTCCTGACATGGTATGCGATACATCACGTCCGACTGCTCACTGGGACTTCATGGCCCCTATGACGGTTAATTGGCCCCTTCTCCTTTAAATTTTGCTTGTTTTCTTCGACAATTTTATCTCTGACGATGGACTCCTGCAATAGTTCGAAAGCTCAGACTAATGAAACTATAAGCCCGGTGATCGACACGGCTTCTACTCATTAATTGCATTCAGTAGGACACTGTGAAATGTGGTATCGGATGAAGTTTGCTTCCTTGCTACAGTAAGCATCGTATATATGCGAGGGCGTGTCAGATAAAGTAATGGGGCACGTTGTGCGTCGCTGGTTAACGGTCGATTGAAATATGTACAGCAAAGGAATAAAGACGTGAAGATACTGCAAACTCAGTTAAAATTAAAAAAAAGTTTATAGGTCTTTATTTTATTTGTATCATATATATGTAGAAGGACTAGGGTATGGCTGGCTGACGATGGCTAATAAACCAGAAATGGCCACCCTAGTCTCCTTTGTCTTTGTTGTTAATGTCCTTCCGCCTATGTCACTAGGTGCCTTACGGCGTGGCCCGATAGTGAACCCCAAAGACACTAGACGAGGTCAGTTTGTCCTGTAAATGATCGGTATGCGCCCATCTGCCACATTATATTATACTCATATATTATTATGCTATAAATTATATAAATTATAGAAGAGCTGTCACCGGTCGGTAGCAGGACTCATTCGTCCCTTTGTGGCTTGGGGCTCGCTCCACAGTCCTGCCAGAAGCCGCTAAACGGCTAACATTTATGGTAGACAGGAAAACCTAACTGTAAGGGCGACTGGAATTTCCCCTTCTGGCCTAGCCATAACACGAAACCATCCTATTGATCCGAAATCCAACGTTCTGTTCCCCATGCGCAACGTGCTCCTTGCCTGGCGGCTTGCGAGCCGTAATGTCCCAGCGTGTGTTTAATTGTTTGTTTTTTTTCTTTCTGCTCTAGCGAGGGTGTCTGCGTACACTTTGATGCCGCCTTCCTTGCTACCACCCCTGCCACTTTACGAAGATGTGACCTCTGACATATCACCGCCAAGATTTGTGGAGGTGCCCGCCAGTCCAAACAATGCGACACTGACCTCCATCATACCTCCACTGCAACTAGCTGTACTTAACGACCCCGCATGCAACCTAGTACCGGAAGGGCCTCCACCCATCTATACCTCTTTTTCGGGTCCCGCTACTGAGCAAGCAGAACCAGAGCAATCCATCGATGATATTTTATGAGCTACCCGGATTTGGTGCTTCCTTAGGTGTCTGTGGACGATTTCGGACACGTTTTTGATGTAAGGAAGACTAAGCAATGTATACGGCTTGGGAGTCTGATTACTACGGCCTAAATCCTTTTCCCTTGACACTTGGTGTTTCATGCATCGACGTCTAAATCCTCTGGGTTAGCCGTTTTGAGAAATTAAGTCAAAAAATCATTTTTTTCTCTCTTGTGGCCTTCTTTTTCTGAACCCGATTTGGCAGAATGTTGACAGCAAACCTTTTATGAGAGATAGGGTAATTTCTTTTGTAGGTGAACTATTTAGACAGGGGGAAGTTGTCTAAAAAATCCCATGTGGATCATGTGAAGCCATTTTCTGTGGCCGGACTCGAAAATCCGCCTTGGCGCGCATTCACGAACATCAGTTGGCAGTAAGAAGACAAGACCACCTGGCCGAGGTCGCCATCTACAGCCTGGACATCGAACACACCTTCGCGTTGGACTGCGAAGGTCACTGCCTGCCCTTTCAAGAAAGGCCGCACATTGATCGAGGCTATGCACTCGGAAAGATCATGCATCAACAGGCACATCAAGTTAAAGTAGTTATTCCGAAGTCTCAAGCAGAAGTGGGCGAGACGCGAAACATTTCGAACGGAGGGAGACACACGTCAACAATCTACGGGCGCTGTGACTCACACACGAGGCTCCGAACACCTGATCCCAT